GAGAGAGAGAGAGAGAGAGAGAGAGAGAGAGAGAGAGAGAGAGAGAGAGAGAGATTCGTGTACCTGAATCAAACTGAGGGCTTTGTTTTGACTTCCGCTCATTTTTTTTGTCAAGTATTTGAGGACCAGGAAAATGTCCTCACTTTGTTGGTTAAAAACATAGGATGGTCCTCACTCTGTAGCAGAAACAAGTACACACAAGCAGGTTTGAAGTTAAATTTAGAATTGCTGCAAAACAGACAATTTTCATCATTACAGGTTAATAAAAAGTAAATGTGCCTTCTCAAAGTACCAGGTGCAAAAGTTTTAAATCATCCTTCATTTTTTCATATTATTTTATCATTTTGCTCCAAATCATCTTTTGACATATTTTTGATCAAAACTCAAGGTTTTCTAGACTTTTTTTTCAAGATTTGGTTTTAACTTTTTCAGCTTTTTCACTTATTAATCTGGTCCTAAAACAAGGTTTGTTGTAAAGTTTTATGTAACATTAAAATATCTGAAAAACATTAGACAATTTGAGCGAATTAAAGTATCTGAAAGGGACATCTCCATGTGAAAATAAATAAATAAAAATAAATCCAACAAAGCCATTACACAGGGCCTGAAAACAAACATCATCCTTCAGCTGATCCATTTCATGTATGGCAAGTTTTCAGCTAATAGCTCTTTGGGAATCCCCTTGTTGGCACAAAAATACAATTTCATGCCTGTCAGACTGTGTTCTCTTTGGCATTTTTCACAGATTCAGTTAAAGAAATAGGAATACATTCAGGCTTAACAGGCTGCTAAAGACAGAGCTCAGAATACCAACTTTCACATTGTCACATTGGATGTTGACCCCCCATGGCACCATGAAAGCGATCAGCCAAACATGGTCTTTGCAGTGTTTCGAAGGTCTTCAGCTGCACGCTAGGTGTGTATTAAGAGTGTGAGAGGTCCACAACGGTTTTGGGCAATCACAAAATGTATGTATTTACGTATGTACCAGGGCTTGTGTGGTGCTCTGTTGGAACACATGACATGGAAAATACTGGTAAAAACCTATGTGGTGCATACTGAGTGCAGAAGCATCACAATCACCTTCACATTAAAGGTTTTCTCAATTTAAAATATCTGAAAAGTAGCTTGGGATTTTTGATCTGTTGCATGTGGTGTACTTGGTAAAAAGTAAAATACTGTATAAGTTGAATAACTTGGACAGTATTGTGGTGATTACAACTCTTGGCTGATTGGCTACCTCATCTGATTATCCTCACCTGCGTTGATGAGCTGACTGGCTTTATAAGGCGTCGGCTCCAGAGGATCAACGCTGATGCATCTAACCATTTTGGTAGTTGTTCAAGCCACTTCATGTTTATGCTAAGTATCTTGTTTCTACTCACCTTGTGTATCTTATGTCTCAGGACAAACTCACGTTGCCAAGTCGTCTGGATCMTCGAACAGCCTCTCTTGAAACTCATCCACCCGCAGGAACAATCAGGACATCATCAGGAACCCAATCAGCCACTCTGCCTGAAGAAACTCACCACTTGGAACCCCTCCTCTGATCCATGCTCCTTACCACCAGGAAAACCTGTAAGAGAAAAACAACATTATCATTCTACTCTCTATTCAGAATTGTTCAAGTTGCCAAGAACCAAACTCACCTCCACGCTTCCCTTCTGTTCACAGCAAGACGCCCCAAAACTCCTCAGCACTGTAAATAAACTCACTTACCTTTTCATCTTGTCTCCTGGTCTGGTCTCTCAGCTCCGCTGCCCTGTTGAACAAAGTTAGCATCTTGTCACATATTATACATGAGATCGTATTATACATGAGATCGTATTATACATGAGATCGTATTATACA